ATATAGGACTCCAAATAGCCTTGATCAAAAAAAATCTACACATAGGCATATAATTGTTAAGATTCCAGAAAACCAATGGAAGAACAAAATTCTACAAGGAGTGGGAGAAAAAAAACAAATCACATACAAAGGAAAGCCCATCAGAATCACAGCAGACTTCTCAACACAAACCCTCAAGGCAAGGAGAGCTTGGAGTGACGTATTCCAAGCCTTAAAGAAAAATAGCCTCCAACCCAGATTGATATACCCTGCAAAACTATCTTTCAAAATGGATGGAGAAATAAGATACTTTCATGACAAAGAGCACCTCAGGAACTTCATGAATATCAAACCAGCACTCCAAAAAATTTTAAACAATATCCTAGGAAAAAACAATGAGGATCACAACCCCAGGAAGCACAGCGGAATGAATCCACTGGGCATGACAAGAATTTAAACACAAAGGGGAAGAATCCAAAGAAAAGAAAAAGTCATGACAATGATAAGTCAATATGTATGAGTTATAACCATCAATGTTAATGGTCTTAACTCACCAATCAAAAGAAATAGACTTGCAGAATGGGTCAAGAAGCAAGATCCAACAATATGCTGCATACGAGAAACACACTTAATTCAAAAAGAAACTGACAGACTGAAAGTTAAAGGGTGGAAAAGAATACTCCATGTGACAGGAACACACAAAAAAAGCAGGAGTAGCTATTCTCTTTGCAGATCAAGTGGATTTCAAACCAACACTAATTAAGACAGACAAAGAAGGACACTATATCCCTGTAAAGGGAACAATCCAAGAGGAAAAGATGACAATCATAAATATCTATGCACCAAACACTAGTGTGCACAACTATATAAAACAAGTACTAACAGACATGAAAAATCATATAAGCACTAATACACTAGTAGTGGGGGACCTCAATACGACACTGTCACAAATAGATAGATCAACCAGACAAAAACAAGCAATGAAATACTAGAACTCCATCAAACTCTTGAATAAATGAATTTAACAGATGTTTACAGAGT